TGCCTTCCATGAAGCCCTGGATTTCTCTGGGGTACTCTTTGATTCTAGCTTTCAGCCAAGAAAAGAACATGATATTTGTGTCTAAGTGAGACTCAAAAGTGGTAGCCCTACAAGCCTATCTGCCCAAATGTCAGAAGCTAGAAATACAGCCCAGCTGTGTGTCCAGAAAAATCCAGTGTGGAGACTGGTGAGCAAATAATGTCCCTGCTACTTTAAATAATGTATGCACTGTCTTCCACAGCTGTCTACTAGATCTAAGTACATCTGCTCGCCACTTAAAAGCCAATACTCAGGAGATAGGAGTTGGTGGAGATGAAATCTAGTTATTTCAGGGTTGACCCTGGGAAGATAAAGGAAGATACCCCCTCAAAATTCTACCTGAGGAACTTTCCAACACAGAAGGGCTTTTTATAGAGAGCAGATAGTCTTCATTCAGGGCATGTGTCTGTGTCCCTTGACCCTGACCTCCTAGAAGTAGTTACAAATATATTGCTTCCTCTAACTTATTTTGGGGTTTATTGATATTGTGTGTGTGTGTGTATGTGTGTATATATATATATATATATATATATATATATATATATTATCTTAAACAAGAGTACAGTATGTAAGTGTTACAGCTCTTAGGGAAAAGCTTCACCAATGCAAATGTTACAGCTCTGCTCTGGTGGCAGGGTCAGCGCATTCTCCAGTGCAAGTATTAAGCTCTAAAGTGCATGTGTCGGGAGCTAAGCAATGCCACAAAGTCATACCACACAACAAACTTTACACAAGAGATTATTGGGAGGGAAAAACCCAGGAGGCTGGCTGCTTCTGCTTGGGTGAGAATCAGCAGAGAACTTAGCAGAAGACAGAGTATATATAGACTTTCTTGAGAAGATTGAAGGATTATATATATCCGTATCTTGGGGCAAGCTCAGGGATTGGTGGGATTTTCTGGCCTGATCTTGAAGCTTAGGGATTGGTGGTTTTACTTTTGTTTTTTTGTTTTTGTTTTTTTCCTTAGTTTTTTACTTGGGTTCAAGCTAGGGGCAGTGTGTTCTTCCCTGGGCCCTAGTCTTGCATCATGTCAGGGTTAGGGTGTTCTTTCCTTGGCCCTTTTACCCTACACAGTATAATTATCATTTCCATTCTTATTCCCCCCCTTTCCCCTGTCCTTCTCATTCTCAGTTTCATGACCTCTTCTGTAATTTTAATAGTTTATATGTGTGTTACATACACAACATTCTAAGCCCACATTTATTTTAGTGTTGCTCATGTGCATGTATTTAGAGATGGCCACATAGATAGGCTGTCATTATGCAAATCTGTTTAGTCAACCATATTGTTGAGATTTCATTGTTGCATACTTGCTGCAGTGTAAGCACCATAACAATCCATATCTTTTGTATAAGATAATGCACAGAGTTAAAAAGTAAGGCTATTCTAGTATTAGCTGAAAGCACCAGATCTTCTGATGTGTGAACTTAAAGCATTTCTTAGCAGTTAACAGCTTCATTATTTAAGCCCACTTTTACTTTTTCCCCCTTGCAACATTGTCTCACTATGTAGCCCAGGCTTACCTCAAACTTGAAGTCCTCTCCCTTACCCATTGTACCTTCAAGCCCAACCCTTGATGTGACTTTTCCTTAGAATTTAGAATGCCCGAAAGAGGAAACCAAATTAATTCTGCTGAGGCAGCTACCAGAGGAACGTCACTGTTGCATAGCCACAGAACCATCTAACTGAATAATTAGAGCTAGGAAAAAACAAAAAACCTCATTACATGATAATGACATGGTGACCACAAAAGCTCAGCAAAAAGTCCTTAGGTTCAGTACCTGCTGCTGTGTTCACTGATCATACAACCTTGAATACTTGGCTGAACCTTCCAGATTGTAAAGCCTTCATCAAAAACGTAGGACTGAGAGGCACCCTAACATGTGGGACTGGTTTGAGGATTAAATGGGAGAACCTGCCAGACCTACTCCAAGTAACCTACTGATTTTCCAAAGATGCTTTGTGAAGCCCAATCTCTTTGTTCTATTGTTGAAATGAATTTTCACATAGATCACATAGAAAATGAGGGTTGGTGTTATCTGGTTCTGGTTTTCATATATCTCCATAATGTCACTGTTTCTTCACCCTGCTGTAAACAGAAGTCCCTTTCTCCAGAGCTGGGAACACACTTCGGCTAAACCTTCAGGCATGTCCAGCCATCATTTCAGGCAGCTCAAAGCCAGTCTAGACCATTGTCTTTCAGGATAGAAAGGCAGAACAGAAGTGCAAACTGCTTAAAGGACCATTTTCTTGAGTCAAATTTTGCCTGTGCCTCAGTTGGTTGCCCCAAGAAACAATTTAGGAAATGTATTTTATCTTAGAAAAAATACATCTTTTGTTTCTTTTACTCACTTGGCGGGAGTCCTATTTTCTTCTGTGGCTAGAAAACAGGGTGCAGTAGCCTTCAGGCCTGTTAATGAAAACATTCCCTTCAGCCCAGTTTCTCTCTGGGGACATTGCCCAGTCACTGGGTGAAGAAAACACTGCATTGAAGCAACTGGTATTTTCCTCTTGAGACAACATCAGCCAAACATACAGCAATAAGCCACCCAACATTAGATTTTGAAAAAGTAAGTAATGCAATCACATTCATTGTTTAAGTCCATGCAACACTTTTCACTTTACAAAGCACTCCTGCATGCATTAGCTCATTTGGGAAAATTGCAGAGAATTTGCTAACTACAGGAAGATGTATAGAAGCAATAAAATTTATCTTTGAATCCATCACTCACAGCAAAATTTTTGTTAACCTTATAATGTTTTCCTCAACTGAGTTTTAGTGGATTTCCTTTTTTGTTTGTTTTTGTTGGGACCTTACTATATATACAATTTTCTCTTTTTTTAATGGCATGCTTTGTTAAGGCATGTTATGTTTTCTGCCATTCCATTTGAAGCTCCTATCTTCTGTGGAAGAAGTAATTGTGTAGTGTGAAGTGTTCCTGGCTGGACTTTCGAAGGGGGAGGGCCTAGGTTTTCTCCTTTGAAAAAGAGATGTGTGCTAAGGGATTTAAAATGTGAGACAGTGCACCCCGAAACATTAACTTGGCACCCAACACCCAGCACCGAGCAGCTGTGTTAGGTGCATCCCATGGTGGTGGTAGTAAAGGTACTACGAACATGTAGCTGGCATCTGGGTACCCTGAAGTCTCACAGGCAGATCTATCTGTCTTAGCATATCTGTGTGGTATCCAGACAGTAACACCTCCTAGGTGACCATCACACTGATGGTTATATGTGAACTTGGGTTTGTATGAATCACACACCACTGATACCGTGAATTTCATAAAAGAGAACATAGGTGCTCTAGAACTGCATCCCAGCCCACTCTGCTAGAGCAAGCTACACCTTGGTAGTTCTGGACTCATTTTCCTTGATGGTCACTCCCTTTCTTAGCATGAAGTAATTGATACCAACAAAGGCTTATATAGCTTTTAAGGTGCTTGGGGTGTCCTGGGTTTAGGGGTTCTAATTTGAATGGGGTATAGCTCTTGCCTTTAGAATTCATTCTATGGGTGATTTAGAAAGTATTTCCTAGAGCCATTAACTTGATAAGTTCTTTTCCATTGGTCCATGTAAAGAGAAGTAAACACCCCATACATTTCATTGTGTTGTCAGCAATAATCTTGCCACATAAATTAAGATACTTGGTTGAAAACTCATCAAAGGAAGATGTGAGTCTTGAAAGCTCACATACAAACATCCATACATACTTTTCCCTTCCCTCCACAAAAGCAGAAATCATGTGCCTTTTTCAGTATATTAAAGCCACCAAGCAAAACCAAGGGGAGACAAAGCCAAACATATTCCTTCAAGGAGTTTGCAAATGTTTCTTTTCTGAACTGGAAACTGTTCAATTACAGTGTGGAAGAGAGAGAGAATGTCAGAGATAATCAAGGCACAGAGAAGACACCAATGAGACATGGAGGGAGCTGTATATATAGAATGAAAGAAAGGTAAAAGAGCCACATGGTACAACATAGTATAATAAAAGCAGGTAAATTTAAATTATAAGAGCTAGACAGACAAGCCTAAGCTAAGTCCACACTTTCATAATTAATAATTAGTCTCTGTCATTATTTGGGAGCTGGTGGGACAGAAAGAGTTGTTACATGATTTATCCTAAGGGTGCTTACAATACAAGCATGATGAGTTTATTCAGTAGCCATGTAAAAAGCCAGGTGTGTGACATACACTTTTAATGCCAGTGCTAAGGAGTCAGAAACAGGCCAGTAGCTTACTTGTTGACCTGCCTAGCAAAATCAGCAAACACCACATCCCAGTGAGAGACCCGACCTCAAAACTCCAGGTTAATTGCTTCTGAGGCTGTCTTCCACATGTGAGCGCATGCACGCACACACACTTGTTAGCGTGTTAGGTGAGCTAGGAGAAAGGAGTAGAACTAAAGATAATATTCTACTAATGAAGCCAGATTTTCATTAGAAAAAGTAAAAGAGAAAGAGGTTGTCCTGATTAAATTAAATTTAAAATACTAAATGGACAGAGTTTTGTGTCATTAATGCATTTGCTTGATTCTTCTCTCCTATACCTGACCCAAAGATTAAAGTATGTAGTTCCAGGAAGACAAAGCATCAGGTCACTCAGAAGCTTTTACATTTGGGATTTCCTCATCTGGAAGTATCTTCTTTGGGTTAGTTGAAACTAGATCACCATTTGACTGACTTGCCCCAGAAAACCCTCTGTTTTATTTGTGAGAATTTTGTCTGGGCTCTATTTGTCAGTGAGCATCACTGTCTCTCTTGGCCACAAGGGGGCTCATCTCTCATATGGAGAAGGTGCCTGCCTTTCTGATCACCCTTTGAAGTTAGAGTAATGGCTCAGGAGATAAAATAGGAGTCCTTTCTGTTAAAGTACTAACACAGGAAGGACAGACAACTGCAGACAGGCTCCTGGGTCACTTGGTGCCTTTCCTCCTATCTCCAAACCTTTTTCTTCCTTTGCAGCTTCAGAAGCAGCTGTCAGAGCTGGATGAGGATGACTTGTGTTATGAATTCCGGCGAGAACGCTTCACTGTTCACCGAACCCACCTGTACTTCCTGCACTATGAGTTCGAGCCTGCTGCTGACAATACAGATGTTACCCTGGTAGCTCAGCTCTCCATGGACAGGTACGATCAATGATGTCACCCACCACACAGTCCCCATAACTGATGATCTTTACCCCATGGAACAATGGAAGATGGGCGATGGTCTCCCAGGCTTAGAATATCAAGTTGTGTTAAATCTAAATCATCTTCCTCGTGCTGCACAAGAGGGGTTTCCTCTTTTTGTTATCAGTGTTGCTTGAGGATAATAATAAGAATTCGTTCATTAGGAGTAAAGCCCTGCTGAAGAGGCTACACACTGGAGCTTAGTTACTGCTCTGTTGCTGCTGTGAAGAGACACCATTATTAAAGATACTACTTCAAAAGAAAGTATTTAATTGAGGGCTTACTTACAGTTTCAGAGGATTAATCATGAATATCATGATGGCAGGAATGTAGGCATGGGACTGAGAACTTGCATCCTGATCTGCTGGAAAGAAGACAGAGTGAGAGAAATACTGGGCTTGGCATGAACTTTTTAAACCTCAAAGACCTTACCCAGCAACATACTTCCTTCACCAACGCCACACCCCCTAGTCTTTCTAACACAAGTGCCACTCCCTGGTGACTAATCATTTAAATATATGAGAATGTGGGCACCGTTCTTATTCAAACTGCCAATGTGGACCCAGCAAAACATGGCTCATTTCTCTTCTTCATTTGTGTCCTGATATAAAGTCCTTCACTGGGCATTTCCCAGTGGCACTGCTGTTATGGTGGCCCTTTCTCAATTACAGTCTGATAGGCAGGTTCTTAACCATGACAAGGGATAACTGAGTCACAATGAGAGCTTTTGAGACAAATTCATACCCAGGATCCATAGCAAACCAATTAAGACAGAATCTTTGTTTTGGTGTTGTTTTAAGTTTGGAGTGTGTGAACCAGGATCAGGAGTATAGATAGATATCCATAAATAATTTAGTAATATTATAGTGGCAATAAGGTCTTTGAAGGGACTGGGATAGATAATGTCAGTCTGTTTGAGGATCTTCTTTAGATTATGCCATTAGGCAAAATCTTCCTAAGAGACATATCTGTAGAGATGTAGAAGGTAATGAGGAAAGCTAGACACAGACAGATGAACTAGCAAGTCCAAACGGTCTATGGTTGGAAGGGTGATGGTTTGCACAACAATTGGACAGAAGAAAAGCATAGCTATACAAATAATGTTAGCTATGGACAGTGTTCACGGATCACCTTTAGCTGAGTTACAGATGGTTGTGAACTGCCTGATATGGCCAATGGGAAACAAACTCAGGTCTTTGCAAAAGTAATACATACTCTTAATTGCTAAGTCGTTCATCTCTCCAGCTGTTACTTATATTTTTACAAACCTCACTGACTACAGGAGATGAATGGATTTTAAGCCCTGAGGTCACTGTCCTAGAGATAAGCAGATTTCCTCTCCCCAGCCATTTGACATAGCTGACTCTCATCTTTAAGTTACACACTCCTCAGTGGCTGCCCTTATCTGGTACACTTTGTGCAAACTGAGATGTTAATCTAATTAATGTTAATCAATACAAAATTAGGAGTCAAATATTGGGGTAAGAACCTGAAAGATCAGAGAATCAGTAGCAGCTACCAGTAGCTTCCTATGTCTTTGTTCCTCTGCCCAAAAAGGACAAGGGCTCCTCTCTCAGCCCTGCCTTGCCATGTCCTGTCTTCTCTCGCTCAGTCCTCCAAACCTAGCTAGCTCTGCCCTCTGACTCCAAGCAAACTTTATTTGCTAGCACACAATCAAATTATCACTCATTTGCCCCTTTTTATATAAATAAAAAACAAAGGTTTTAACTAATGGAAAAATAATATACAATATGTACAATAACTATATACAAATATATATAGGCAATAATTACATTAACAGTGTCTAATCCATAGCATGTGACAAATTCAGAGAAAATACTCCATTTTATCTTGGTGAGGCCAAACTGTTGTACTTAATTCACTTTCTATCCTAACTTATAGTAACAGCCCAAAAGAACCTTTTATGTCTCTCAACCTTTTTTTTACACTTTACACTTTTTTGTGAGTTTCTTTTCTGAACTGACAAGGAAAATAACCATAGCTATCTGTTCTTAACTCCATCAGAGACCTGAGAAGGATATAATATTACCTGGGTAAACAGGAAGTGCAAAGCAAACTAAGAAAGGACAGAAACAGCTGACTGCCTGGACATTCACCGAAGGTTCTTCTGCAACCTTGGGGCATCCATACCTGGCCTACAGGTATATATGACAGAAATTTCTGTGAAGCAGGATTTTTGAAGGATTTTCCCACCTTTTCTTGGCAGAGTTCGGCAGTCACTTTCTTTTGTTCCCTGATTGTCCAATTTGGACAGCATACTGTCAGCAGTTGAGGCAAGGGCAGTTTCTTGCCAGTGGCTAACTTTTACCACATAGAAAGTAAACTCCATTTGGATTTTCTTTGATGCCTATCATCTTTTCTGAAGTAGATTGGTGCTCCCAGGAACAGACATGTCTCATTGTCTTAAAAAAAGAACCTTATGTTATTAAAATATGTTAAGTGCCATATTTTGTAGATTTCCAAGGTTTGGAAGACCACCTGTTTATAGAAAATATCTCTATTTGACCTCGAAAATATACCTAACCTGAGTACAAGCTTGATCATAATAGGTGACTAACTACTAACCTGCATTTCTTTATTATCCTAAATACTTTGTAATAATAAATTTTGAGGATCAGAAATTTAATTACATTGTTCAATGAGCTGTATAGGTACAATACACTGAACAAGAGTAGAAATCTATGTACAATATTTTCTAAACAAGACAACCTTAAGTTTCTATCAATATATAAACATGACTTTAATAAGAGTAGAAGCATATATCGTATAACAAAGATAGCTTCAGATTTGTATTATTGTACAAAAACCTATAGCTATACCATTGTAAAATATGTAAGAGTAGTATGCTTTTTTGACTTTTAGATTCAATAATCTATATTTTATCTTATAATATCTATAGCCCTCCTTTTCTTTTTTAGAATGAGATCCATGAATCTAATATCTTTTGTTCAACTTTTTCCTGATAATTACCAATAAAAACTTGTAACAAAACCACCTAATTGATGGTAAATATTCATAACCCACCAAATGACCAAAACCTGGCCACCCCACCTATTGAGGATGTGAGTGTCGTGTTCTTAAAATTACTTTCTGCTGTCTGGATATGGCAGCATCTTTACGGGAACTTGAAAAATAGTGGAATAATTGCAAAGTCCTGGGAGAGCTAGCTGTATCATTTGTTTTCCAGTCTCCTGTGTAGTGGGAAAGTGCAGGGCTTCTCTCAAGTCCTGGCTAAAGCAGTCTGTGAGGCTGAAATTGTCCTGAGCATTTTATAGTCCAGAGCTGATCTTTGGGTGGTGTTTGTCAGCTTAGTGGTGTTACCACAATCCAGGTGGAATCATCATTGTAAGGCCTCATACTCCTTTGGAGACTTCAAAGGTCTGTATTAGGTAGACATGGTCATGATTCACTTAAAGGTTATATGCAGCATATCTCAAAGAAATTAAATTACTAAAATTTGTTATGTACATCCAGAGTGAAAAACTTAATTTCTAGTTTCCTGGTAGAGATTTAAATCAGAAATTATGAACAGGATGCTAGATGAAGCCTTTTTCTAAAATCAGGTTGTACTCTATATGACCATTAATATCATGACAAAAAGTTTAAAATATAAATAAAGCCAAAGTACTATGAAATTAGTGACAATAGAATACTTGTTAATTTTGGTTTTTCTTCTGTCCCATATCTGGTGGCTTTTCTGCCACCAGATATCATTCTATTTGCAACTGAAGTCAATCTTTGTAAAAAAAAAAAAATCAATGAAGGTTTCTTTTGGATACTGTATAATTTTAGAAAATGGCTCAATTCTCTTTCCGACTTCTTTAACTCTGTTCCAAGCATTTAAAGTTGCTGCATGGCTTAGAGCCAAGGTGTGATAATCATATATAGACTGTCTTTGAACATCAGAATAATTGCCCTCTCCATGAAATTGGCCATGGGAAATTTCCATATCTCTCGCTCTACTTCATTATTCAATGGTTTCATCTTACCACCTGGTCCTCCACTGTAATTGAGGACCATGTTCCAATACTGCTCTAATAATGTCTTTCCAGATGGACAATTCTGTTATTAGTTGACCATAATTTGACATCTCCCTCACAAAAAGTGAATGCATACCTTACAAACCTATTTCCTCCTTAAATCTCCTCAAATCTAACATTTCCACAGGAATCTAGTCAGCTCTTACATAGCCTTGGGGATACCTGTTACTTGGTAGTTGTTCCTGTAGGGAGACTAGAGAAATTAAAGTTGGTTTTTTGATAATTTTGGGCTGTTTCCAATATAATGGTGAGGTTGGTTCTCCTTTTAATTCTTCTGCCTTTGTCTCAATATCTCTATCTGTTTTAGGAAGTTTTTCTAAAGCTTGTAATGTATCAATCAAAATTGCATTATTTTCCTCAGTAATTTTTCTAAGGCCTGTTTCTTGGTGCTCATATAAACCAACTCTTTTGTGGATAAAACAAGAATTATCAAACAGATAATGTTTATAATTGACATTATGTAGATCCCAGCAAAGTTAATTATCCCCTGATTCAGTTCCATTTTTTAAACCATTTATTGTGCAATCCTACATAGACCTAACTTCCTCCAATATAATAGTGTTTCCCATTTTTAATGGTGAAAAAACTCTTATCTTTTTAAAACTAATTTTCCCCTTTAAGAATTCCAAATTGTTTAACCAAATTTGCTTAGGATGACAGTGAAGTGTAAGGCTCTCTATTGCTGCATAGTATGTCCAGGTGGAGAACACAAATAGTGCACAACCTGGCTGAGAACAGCTGCACTGATCAAGCATCAACAGCCTGAGAAGGGCGTCCAGGGAAAGTCCACAATACGAAGGGAAAAGGGGCCAAAGATCTAGCCATCTGAATGGTGGACATGGAGGGAATGTGTGAAAGCATGTGTGACTGGGAGGAAGTGAAAGCACAGTGCTGTTC